GGGACCCCTCTGTGGGACCCCTCCCCTCAGCCCTGTCCCCCTCCCCAGGTCCCCAAAGGGGCGCAGGAGGGGGGGCCCGGCCCGGGGGGGGTGGCGGCCACACTGCCCCCCCGTGCCCCTCCCCCACCCGAGACCCTCGAGGGGGGGCTGTGCCGGAAACAGGAACTGGAGGCGCCCGGCAAGAGAGCGACCAACAGGTCAGCATGGGGACACCTGGGCACACCTGGGGACACCTGGGCACACCTGGGGACACCTGGGGACACCTGGGCACACCTGGGGACACCCTGGGGAACACCTGGGGACAGCTGGGGACACCCACGGGGACACCTGGGGACACCTGGGCACACCTGGGGACACCTGGGCACACCTGGGGACACCCACGGGGACACCTGGGGACAGCTGGGGACACCTGGGGACACCCACGGGGACACCTGGGGACAGCTGGGGACACCTGGGGACACCTGGGGAACACCTGGGGACAGCTGGGGATACCTGGGGACACCTGGGGAACACCTGGGGACAGCTGGGGACACCTGGGGACAGCTTGGGGATACCTGGGGACACCACGGGGACACCTGGGGACACCCTGGGGACACCACGGGGACACAGCTGGCCTTGGGGACACGCCCCTTTCACCTTCCCGCCCAGACCACGCCCCTTCAGACACACCCACAGTGCCCGGCCTTATTTGGGTGCGCTGACCCCGCCCACGCGGCCCCACCCTGCCATGGCCACGCCCATCAAAGTGCCACACCCCTCCCTTAAAGTCCCAACGGCCCCCAGGTCCTGGCAGAGCCCGGGATGTGTTCTGGGGGGCTGGGGGACCCCTAAACCCCCCCTGTGACCCCCAGGTCCTGGCAGAGCCCGGGATGTGTTCTGGGGGGCTGGGGGACCCCTAAACCCCCCCTGTGACCCCCAGGTCCTGGCAGAGCCTGTACTGCGTGCTGCGGGGGGGGGTCCTGAGCGTGTTCAAGGACGCGCGGGGGGCGGGGGCGGGGGTCCCGTACCACGGCGAGCCCCCCACCCCCCTGCGCGGCGCCCGCTGCCACCCGGCCACCGCCTACCGCAAACGGAAACACGTG